GCCGATGCCTACATACATTTTTTACAAAATGACCTTACAGAGGCATTTGATGAATTACCTCAACAAATTCTAGAAGATTGCTACTTTATGCACGATTATGCACGCGCTACTCGAGCATACTTAAATAACAGATTTGGCAATAAGTGGATTGGCCGAGGAGAGCCACCTCGTTCACCAGATTTAAATCCGTTAGATTTTTGGTTTTGGGGACATTTAAAACAAATTGTTTATTCTGAAGACGTTCAAAATGTGCAGGATTTGAAGAATAAAATTAGTAACGCATTTGACACAGTAAAACAAATTCCTGGTATCTTTGAACGCATTAGAAGTTCATTTAGAAAACGTATCCGTTTGTGTTTAGAAGTAAATGGTGCGCATATTGAACATTTATTATGACATGAATCTTTTCCAATTTGTTAAATATTCGTTGTTTTTATGCTGGTTGAACGATTTTCTTCGACAATCTTTGTTACTTGTTTTGTTAAATTATTAATGAACTGTATTAATTAACTTAATATTATCTTATTATTTATTAAACTTTATCTTAACCATCGTAACCATGGTAATCATATAATTACTGCATCTAAATCGTTAGAATTAGTGATGTTTACAATATTATTTAATATCTCGAAATTGGTCCATTTTCGGACCTATGTTTATTAGACTTTTCTTGTCTGTTTTCGATCAGAGAATATGCTGATGCAGTATTGTACAATCATTGCGAGACATCCTGTATAAAATCGGAATGATGATCATTACACAATATATACAAAATTATTATATAGCTATTTTATAATTTTGTTTGCAAATTGTTCACTCAGATCAGTAATGTTGATATGCTGAGAATACAATTTTGTGGTGCATCTTGATATCGCTAAAACTCACTTTATATCCATAACATTAGTCATAAACTCAAAAAGAAATCAATATTTCCAAAAATAAATTTATCGAATACATTTGAAAATCGAGCCGTGTTCGTGGGCAAACACGAAATGCACTTCAACAGGTTGTCATGGAATGTGGGTGGAGAACTCGATGAATAAATACAGCGAGACTCACCTTCCACGTGACCGACACATTTCGAGCTGGTAGTTTCGTATGTCGAACGATTTTCCAGTCGGCGGAGTGCGAGCTGATTGTGATTTCCATTTTCCGGGTATCTAATTTTCGGGGGCCTATCAACTAAACTGCTCGAAATCGACAATTTTCTCCTAACGCAATTTATTTTTAAGAAATAGATAGAAATTTTTTGCTTCCCCATTCAGAATACCGCAACCTCTTGAATTAATGGAAAAAAGATGATCTCACTAATGAACTAAAATAATTAACATGGACGAAAAGAAATTAATTTTTCTTGTTGGAAAAAGAGAATGCGAAATGGTTTTTCGCGTACCAAGTAATTAACTTGGATCGAAAAGTCAGTGCGATGGAAAACAAATTGAACTTTACTAATTCAAGCTTTTCACTCCGAAACGATTCTTTTTCGATAACGTTGATAATCAATAAATGAATAACTCATCAATTTTCTGTTTGCGACATCTTCATGGCGTTCCCTAGTGGCTCTTGAGGAAACGTTAAATTACTTACATCCGCTTTCGGCAGTGACCCTACCATATAAATCATGTCGCAAATACGTTCACTAAACAATGGTTCCGGCATCTGTGCAGTGGACTTCCGCCGTTACTTGCTGAAATACGACTCCGATTGTTTGCACCGGACATTAGAACCAAGTTCCTTTTCAAAAATAGCCAATCTTAAGTGTTTTGAGAGATCGTTTTTAAAACAAAGTTATGTGAAAATTAAAATTTAAATTTAAAATCAATACGAACCGCCTCCATAATACTTAATTAAGCTGCAACGTTTAATTTTCACGTCGAGCGACCGTTAGTGTCGCGGTTCATTAAATTAAATTATAACGCAGCCAAGTTTTGGCGCTGAGGTCGCCTTCTTCCTCGTCGATGGCATTTAATAATTAGGAAATGCCAAATTTAAAAATAGATTATAAAAAGAAATTTACTCGAAATTTTATGTAAATTTTAAATGTAACTTATACTCATAGTGGAGTAGGACAGTTTATAAATTTGTTGAAACTTCACCGACGTCTCTCTTATCGAGTTCGCGAGTTCCCCCATCCTCGGGGAATTGCCTTGGCGAACATTTCAAAATGAAAAACCAATAAAACAAATTTTAAAATAAAACTTAAAACGACTTTTAACAATCAAGATTCTTTTGACATATATCTTTATATTGATCTGTCAAACGACTGAAATATAAATATAAATGATAAATAAGTATAGTACCAAGTAATAAATAATAAGCATTTTATTAGCTAAATGTACCATTTGAAATCATTGAAAGTGAAATTGTACGTAATTTTAGGAATAAATTATTTATTATGAACTAAAAAGACATCATCCATAAATAAATTTAGTTTAGGCATAATCATTTTCTAGTGATAAAGAGAAAATCCCCAAAATGTCAAAATTAAGTACTTTTGGTTTGAAAATCGATTATAACTCAAAAGTGAAAGGTGATGGCGAAAAGTTTTTTAGGAATAAATTGTTTATTATGAACTAAAAAGATTTTATTGATAAACAGATTTTGTTTAGATGTAATGATNACTCTTCATCACCACTATCTTCTTCACTTATTTCCCCATCAGGTGGTGTTATAAAAATGTCTCCACTCAACAGTTCATCGTTTTCTGCTATTAGTGTGATTATGTCGCCTACTGATAATCTAGAATAAAATAACAGAATTCTCCAAATAAAAGGATCAAATTGGAATATTTTACACAGGCATATTATCCTACTGTTCCAAAAACGGAACGGTATCAGATTTATTTGTTATATAAATAGAAAATACTTACTTTTTACGGCGATCCATATTTTGGAAGAAACTTTCGGTTTTTATACTTGTTTTTTACAAATGTCGATGCGAAACGTACAACGTCAAATATTGAATTTGACAGCTAACAATCCCGGTAGTACCAACGTATAAGAACAAATAATGAACGGCGATCCATATTTTCAAAGAAACTTTCGGTTTTTATACTTGTTTTTTACAAATGTCGATGCGAAACGTACAACGTCAANTCTCTCGCTGTCCTGCATAATTAATTTTCTCTTGCATCTTTACTAATAATGTATTAACAGTTGGTACTTGATGATCAATTACATAACTTTCATGTACCGTCCTTCGTAAAATATCCTTATCCATATCATCCAAGTGAATTTTGTTGACGGCAGGTGTGGTATGTTTCTTTTTGGGGCTAACCAACGGTGCAGCGCCCACAACTTTCATTTCCCTGCGAATGTTTTTTATAAGGCCAATTGATACTCCAGTAGCAGCAGCTGCGAGTTCCGTAGCTTTATCTAATGGATATGACCATGATCCACTGCTCTTCTGTGTGTCAAAGAACTTAATAACATTTTTAATCACATTTCTTGCTTGTGAATGGATAAGTTTCCTCAATTTTCCGGTATTTTCCACACTACAAGCTAAAACCTAATGTTATTAATTGAATTAACCTTACATTCACTATTGACTTACGTAATTGCGAAGAAGTTGATGCAGTAGGAGGGATATCCATAGCGTAGTTCTAAAAAGAACTGATTTTTCTTAAAAAAGTCGTGAAATATATAGAGTGTAGCTAGCCGTCAGATGAAACAAACAACTTTTAATTCAGAGTGTACTTTTTTAAATTCTGAACGTTGATTGGCCGAAATATTTTCGTCCGAGTTTAGTTCGCATCTTTTCCGGGGACAATGATTGCTTGGGAGAGCTATATAGCTTTGTATCGAGAACGTTTTCCTGATCGAAATACGCCTTCGAGAAGTGCTTTATACAGAGTTGTGAATGATTTCACTAACACTGGAAATGTGGAATCATGAAAAAGAATTCGGCGAGCAACTGTAACTACGGAAGAAAAGGAAATTGCGGTATTAACTAGCGTTGAGGTAAATCCTCAAGTTAGCACTCGACGATTTGCAATTGACTCCGGAATATCGAAGACCAACATTTTAAGAATATTAAAGCGCAACAAGTATCATCCATACCACATTTCATTTAATCAACAGCTTTATGGAGGTGATTTTGAAAATCGATTTTCAAAATCACCTCCTTTTGCTATTCTCTGCTATTCTTTTGTGCTATTCTCGGCTGAGTCTACTTTTACAAACAAAGCACAAGTCAATAGACATAACATGCACTATTGGAGCGTTGAAAATCCGAGATGGTTGCGTAAAGTAGAAAATCAACGACCTTGGTCGGTTAATGTTTGGTGATAAATTGATCTGTCCATACTTATGTAAAATGAACCGTTTTCGAGATAATCGCTTGTCTCACGTTAAATAGACCACCCTGTATATATGCATCTATACTACATCATAAAAAGAATTAATGAATTTCTTTTTAATTTTATTGTATCTACCCAAAAAAAAATAAAGACGCGACGTCCAGTCTACATAGAACACATAACTACTCCCCCTCTTTCCCCGCATGGGGTATTTCTGATAACTAATAACTAGATTGCGAAGATGTCGATTTATAAATTGAAGAGGTTTGACTTTTGACACTGATAGTAATACTACTACAACTACAACCACAAAAAAAATTACTTCCGCAGTTGGAGACTTGTATTGACGTAAATTGTTTTTCTCTTTTTTCCGTAAATTTCTCTGCTCTGCTTTGGTTTTGGCTGTGTGCTATGGTTGTGCCGGCGCATGCATGACGCTTCAAACAAAACACATCGTTCACGTAAGTATAAATCATCATTTTTATATGATGCGAGACAATTTTACAAGTTCCTTCTCTTTATCTGATTCGAAAATCTATTTTTGCGATTAAACAAAGTCAGATAAAGAGAACTTGCAATTTTTTTGCGAAATAAAAACTTACTACTTTAAGAGTTTTTGTTGATTAATTACTTTATTACAACAGCAATTACTTAAACTTAACTTTCTAATGCTATTTTAAATTATCTTTAAGAAAAAAATCTTTCCTATTGCCACCACAATTTCAATCAAAATGTTGTAATAATATTTTTTTTTTCTTAAAGATTTTTAATATTAGACCCAAAAATATACTTTTTACAATACCTAAATACTTCCTAAATTTCTGCATCTGCATGAGTTTCACTACGTTCTGGCGTTTGCATCTGGCTGGTACTCGTTATAATTTAATTTATTAATTTCTTGAATCCTTTTTACCTTTTCTTTAATGAAAAACTCACTCAAAGCAAAGTCCAAGAGACAATTAAATTTTTTTAGTTATTTAAAAAAAAATAATTTGAGAAAGAAAAATTATTGAATTTTGTCAGCATGCCAAAGCACCATAGTTAGTATTTTTATCTCTTAAAGCACAGTACTTTATATATTTAAAAAGTAAACTATTGTTACTTAAGTTAGTGGTTTGTTATTACTTTTATTATTATTATTAATTTTCCCATTTTTTAACTCGTTACTTATTACATTTTTTATACAAAAAAATACTTTGTTACACTGGTATACAAATAGATAAGTATGTTTTTATTTGGAATAACCCCACGATGTCTGTCTCTCTATGTCTGTGTAAGTTATTTATTTTTACTTTACTACTGTTTACCTGTTCAATTATGTACCTTTTATACTACTTCTATTAAGATGCAGCACACTTATTAATCACAATGTTTAGTTTTTATCTTTTTTACAAAGAACCAAAATAACTATATATAAAACAGAGAAGTACATTTAGAACTAATTTTATTTTAATAGAAAATAGAATAACAAAAAATCAATTCTTTTAGTTGAAGAGTTTAGAATAGTTTTTTTGTATACCAAGATCGCAAGTTTTTGCAACACAAATTTGCGGCCGTGGTGTACACACACATTTTTGGGCAACCGAATGTAGTATATAAAAATCACGTTTTACACCAATTAAGACAACTTATTACCCATTTAATACCAGACTCTTTCTTGCAACTTAGAGTTTAGGCAGTGTAAATCCAAACATTTTCTTACAGTTTAGAGTATGGCCAGGTTGATTCCAGACTTTTCTCCAAACCTAGAGTTTGGCCAGTGCAATTCCAGACAATTTATTGCAGTATGGCAAGTATAATTCCAAGCTTTATTTTATCGTTTAGACTTCACCCTGTGTAATTACAAACATTTTCATGCAATTCAGACTATTGCCATTTTTATTACAGACTTTTCTTCAAATCTGATGTTTGCCCAGTGCAATTTTAGAGTTTAGCCAGTAGATTTGCAAATTTTATGTTGAAGTTCAGAGTACATTCAGGTTGATTCTGGAGTTTGGCCAATATGTTTCCAAACGTTCCCATGCAGGTTAAGATTTAACCAACATAATTCTACATATTTTATTGCAGTTTAAAGTTTTGCCAAATTAATGCAAAAGTTATTAATTCGGTTGCCCAAAAATTTCTTTTAGATAAACCAAGTTAGATATTTTTTTAGATTCACCCCTTTCCTTTCTTTTAATTATTTTACATTCCATTATTTGCAATTACTACGTACTGTGATATAATTCCAACCAAAAATATAAAGGTAGTTTGAAATCATTTCAAAACTCTTGGTTTGAGCTGGGTGTCGTAGTTTTTTTATAAAACCAAGTTGTATTTCCAAATATAGTGGTGCAAAAAAACCTTTTTTTTTCATTTCTGTTTTAGTTGTCATCCCAGAATCCAACATTTTTTTGGTTGTTTAAACGAAAACGATGCAAAAATTTAGTACATCCTCGTTGATTTTTAATTTCAATTTAATTTATTACCTTAGTTGTGACTATTTGTTTTTATTACATTTGCTTGACCACACTATTCTATGATTGCGCATGCAACAAAGATAATTAAATCCCCAAACTAAATTTTTCTACCCAAAACCTAAAAGAAAGAATTAAATCAAGAAATTTTTTAATTATTGTTGTGTTTTATTGTTATTCGTTGTTTATCATTAATTCTTATTGAGTGTTTTATCACCTTCTTTTAAACAAAATCACCTCGTTGTTTCACCAATTTTTTATTATCTTAATTCGTTTCTTTTACAATAAAAAAAATTTGCAAAAAGCATCGCAAGCAAAAGACTAATGTGATTGAGCCGATCTCGAAAAAGGCGCTTAGGGGCCGTGCGGGGTCACTCTATTATTTGGGTATTACAGGAAAACAAGCTTGGAGATATCTGTTTTTCATTGAGATACGTTCCAACCGCCGGGAAACTCACCGTTGTTATTCTCGAAGCTAAAAACTTGAAGAAAATGGATGTTGGAGGATTATCGGGTAAGATTTCGGTTCGTTTTCATCAAAAATATTTATAATTTATATTTTAGATCCTTACGTGAAAATTGCTTTGATGCAAAACGGAAAGCGATTGAAGAAAAAGAAGACGAGCATTAAGAAATGCACTTTGAACCCGTATTATAATGAGTCGTTTACTTTCGAGGTTCCGTTTGAGCAAATTCAGGTTTTATTTTTGATTCTTTTATTTTGATTATTTAAGAGGAATTATTTTTTTTGATCTTTTAGAAAGTGAATTTAGTGGTTACCGTCGTGGATTATGATCGAATTGGGACTTCGGAACCCATTGGGAAAGTCGTTTTGGGTTACAACGCAAGCGGGACCGAATTGCGTCATTGGTCGGATATGTTGGCTTCTCCTCGCAGACCAATCGCCCAATGGCACACTCTCAAAGATCCGGAAGACGAGAAAAAGGACTAAGATTGAATCTAAAAAATTGCAAAGTACTTTATGTGTATACATAAGTAAGTTTTAATTAATCAATGAATGTGTTATTAGACGATTCTTTTTTAGCCAAAACTTCATGTAAAACAAGTTTATCTCTGATCTACGGAGCCAAAATATATTCTATTATCTCTGTTGCAGCTCTGAAAATTATCTATATGTATATTTTACGTATGTTAGTTAAAGAAATAGGGTGAAAATGAATTTGGGGTATCCCAAGGAATGATAAGGTAGAATTTAAGAGAACTGCTACATCCCAAATTTCAACAAATGCATAGCTCGGGGGACCGTTCGTGACGTCACGCATGGATAATAAAAGAAAAATTTTGATCGAGTTTAGTCTCTTACGATGGCTAAATCCGAAACTTTCTGGTTCTAGGTTTAGTGTTAGGTCTAGTTTTAAATAAAAAATATACAACCACCTAACGCTATCTAGTGTTAGCTAACATTATCTAACACTGTCACTAGAACTAACACTAGACCTAGAACTAGAAACATTCGGGTTTAGCCGTACGTCTCTTAAGACGGCTAAACCCGACTGTTTCTAGTACTAGGTCTAGTGTTAGTTCTAGTTTTAGTTCGAGTACTAGAACTAACACTAGACTTAAAACTAGAAACATTTGNAATTTGATGTGATAAAATAAGTAGAGATCTTTTTTGCTGAGTTAACATCGTTCTGTCACTTCCTGGTTTACAAAGAATACCATCTGTTATTATCACGAGAAGCAGTAATAAATAGTAACAAAAATAGTTATAAATATTAGATAAATTATAATGAATCAACTTATTTTAGTTCCATAGCTTTAAAAAAAAATTGTAATAGGCAACCAACATTGCATCAATATACAATTAATTGCATATACAGCCTTAATTTTATTATTATTTTAATATTAACTAAAACTTTTATTTATTATTACGATTTATACAAAACATTTTTTATATATTACCAATTTACAACTTTTTTACAACTTTTCGATTAAATTAAACAATTTTTTTGTTATTTATTATCTTCATTATAATATCGCCTTTTCATAGTGCGATATTTTTTCAACATATACAAAGCTTCTAATTCCTTAATGATATATTGTCCGTGAGCCAACATTTTTTCGATTTTTTCTGGATCCTTTTCATCTTTATTTTTCATAAAAGCTCGGTGAAGTCTGGTTCGGAAAAAATCGTATCCCGATGGATAATCTTTACCCAAATGTAATAACTAAAATAAATTTTGCGTTAATTAATTGTTTAATTATTAAAATAAAAAAAATTTCATACCGTTTTGTATAAATTTATA